TGGTCCCGGGCAAAATTAACCCCCCCCGAAATTTTAAAAAAAAAAAAAAAAAAAAAAAAGAAGTCAGAATTATTTGGTTTTCTATTTGAAAAGTACTGGTAACACATGCCTATACTTCTTCCTGGAGAGTACAGTCTAATATTTTAAAACAGAAATTGTAAAGTCTGGGTGAAATACTGACCTTGTTTAATATGGTAACAACTGTTTTGCCAATTTCAGCAAAACCAAAATTACACATCAGATATATTTCTTAATATAATTTAGATGGATACTGTTACGGTAATGTCAAGACCACGGTCTCTCAAACTGGAGAGATCAAATTTTTGCATTATGTTGGATTATGCCTCAAAGTAGAAAAAGAAGATAAAAGAAAACTAATAATGCTTATATTCGCAACAAAAACACTCGTTACTTTGTTCTGGTTTTTATTTGCTGGTTTCACTTATGAAGTTGTCCTTTGTTTTTTGTTTTGGGGGTATTTTTATGGAAGGAGGAGAAGGTTTACTTTTAATCTACTCCTACAGACAAACAATGAAGAAGAGAAGCATTAAGGGATAATGTTTTAATTTTAATGACAAAACAAATATATCCATTGACAAAGCCACCGTCTCAATTTCAAGCATCTTTGCAAAACAATACAAGTCCTTACCTAGTTTTAATGTTTCTATCTGTTTTTCAATAAACCTTTATAAATGTCGATGTAATTTTAAAAAAGACAAAACCAAAACCAATTGCTTTTGCACAAATGAAGCTGTTCTATATCTAATCAAAAAGCTGTAATGCTATGCAGCAACTTCTAGAAGTCCATTACATTTGACATTTTAGCTCTTGATGAGAGTAGGGGGTGGGGTGGTGTTTTGTTTTGAAGACTGCAAGAAGAGACATGACTGCAAAAGATGCACTACCAGCCCTATTGAATCTTTTTTATTTAAATACCTAACAAAATATCTGAGAGAAAAATGTCAGGTGACAAATTCTGAAATATTCACTTGCATAAACACTTTTCTCTTTCTTCATATTTATGGACATCTTTGTTCTAAGGGAGGAAACTGACTGAATAAGGTTGCAATTCAAAGCCCCCACCAAGTTCAAAGCTTCATTGATTTTACAGGGGAACAACTGACAGTAAAAACATGTCAGTAATCTGTATAACATTTCTTTTCTTTTAGCACTTGCTCTTAAGATTATTTTGACATTATTTCTGGCAGGACAACCTTTTCTTTGTGTGTTTTTTTTGTTTGTTTTGTTTCTAAAAAAGTCACCCCAGACTTTGCAGTGTCACTGACCTTCTAATGTCTCCTCTTATTCTGTTTCTCCAAAACCACTTGATTCTTAAGCTTGTGTTTCAAAATTTACTGGTTGAGCAAAGTGCCCAAAACAGTGAGGGAAAAGTGTGCCTCAGACACCTTGTAATACAAAACTTGAAAGTTTTCGTTATTTAAAACACACTGTAATAACTGCTATGCAAAATGATCCTGTAACATAAATACGCATGGAAAATCCTGTTTAATTATGCACTTTGAAAATAGTCCTGCAAAATCATCTTGCAATGTTTATATAACTGCTATATTTGGTTACGTTTCAGTAAATTTTACAAATGAGACCATCCATCTTCAAGGAAATTTATTTCACGTTTTGTAATAAAAGCCTTAAATCAGTAGAGAAAGATTTTAGTCTAGATTAGTATCTCTGAAGCATTCTGTTTATTTCTGCTGCATACTGATTATAATTAATTTTATTCAAAATGGAAAGACCGACCAACAGTAAAGATGAGAAGGACATTACCTCACTTCCAGCACACTGAATCATGACCTGGGACATGTAAATCACATTGCCAAGTGTTTTAATATCCTCTCCCTCCCAACAACGGATAGCTTCTGTCAGTATTTGTAGTTCAAGTTCTTTCCGTTTCCGTACTTCTTGACATTGTCCCTAACAAACATAGGGAAAAATACCATCTCTATCAACTGTATCAATCTGGAGCAGGTTAAGGGTAGAAATACCAGTACAGTTGTATTTACTGTTGCGGTCGTAGTGCACAGAAGACAGCACCTAACGTGAAGCATTTTCATTTAGATGACTATTACCAATAGTCATAACTCCGTTTCTCAAATTTCTCCTTTCTTCACATTTTTAATTTTTGTACTTCCAACCAAAAATGGCTAGGCTCATCAGAATAGAGTAACACAGCTGTCATGAATACACAACTATACAACAAAGCATCTTTCTTTAGTAAAAAGAGCCATGCCAATTGTGCAAACTGAGTGTGTATCATCTTATGTCCTGTTTTTATTAAATGTCTCCAACCTGCTCTACTAGCTGTACTCCCATTCATTTGAATTTCTCTCAACAAGAATTGTTTCCTCTTGTTTGTAAAGCACCCAACAGAATGGGATTGCCAAACTTCTTCTGAACACAGATAACACTAAATTTCTGCTTTAAAAAATAAAAAATGGGAAATGCCAGCACACTCTCCTAACAGGAAACACAAAACATTAAGTTTATTGTAAGTGAGATTGCATTAAGTATGTTTATTGCAGTTGACTTTTTTTTTTAAAAAGACAATAATAGACCGCTCATCTGTTCAAATTAGGCTTCCTACTCCAGTTATTACTAGAAGTTCCATATCTTCTGAACTTCACTAGCACTTTGCCCTTCATCCTCTCTCCCGCAACTTCAACACCATTCCCCTAGAAGGAATGCACTTTAGAAAAACCTCAGAAGATATACTCAATTGTTGTAAAGACCACCTTCTTCAGGATACTAGTTATGCTAGCACTAGTAGAAAGTGAGACAAAGCACGAGCGAGAGGGCAGACCAAGAGGTGCAAAATGCTTGTGTGGCTCTTGCATCAATAATCTATTTGCTCTAACTCCCCAGCAAATTACCATCCTTAGCTCTGCCCACAAACAGCATCCATTTCCAGGCTTTCAAAAATGTCTTATACAATTATTTACAAAAAAGCTTCGTTTTTCTAAAGCAATAGAGGAGGATGAAATTAGAAAACATTCTACTTAAAATATATACTTTTTTATCACTCTTACAGAAAGATTTTTGAAGGCAGTCATGGATTTTTGAATATCTGGACGATCTGGATGATAATCCTAAAAACAAACAGAGAAAACACACAATAAAAACTTTAGTTCTATTAAAATTAATTAAAAAATTTTAGAAGCTTAACTAAAAACAAATAAACAATTCTGAAAAATAGGAGTTGTAGACCTCTCTTTTCACAGCCACCTTATTCTTATAACAAACACTGGTGGCTTGTAATAAAAATGAAGAGTCACTTATAACATTCCTACTTATGCTTAAAATAGAGCCTTGGAAGTTTTACAAGACCTAGTAGACAAGAGATTTTTAAATCCTACTAGGAAAGTGTTTATTTTAAAGAGTTTTATTTGGCACGTTAGCTTTGTCACAAACTAGATTCCTTACAGACTAGTATGTTCCATTGTCACTGACTGACAAACCAAATTGTGTGACAAGACAAAGACCCATACACTTTCTATTTCTCTCCCTCTTTCACACTCCAAAAATCTAACCTATAAAATGCAAAGGCGGAAACAGTAGCTCCTCAAACACCTTCCCGTATTGGAAAGATCATTTCTGGACAGTGTTCGGTAGAAGTCAAAGGGACTACTTTGGTGATGTGTTCGACACGCTGAGGTCCTAAGATGAGAAGCAGCACTCCTTCTACAAGATAAAGTAGCCTCAAGTAGTATGCAGGAGACACATTCAATGCCAAGTCAACCAAAGACCCTGCAAGACTGTTCTACGAGTAAAGATTAACTTCTCTGGCTAGTTTTACTTTAAACGTTTAGCTTTTACAGGAAGTTTTACTGCACTAAGTTTTAAACCATTGCAGCCCATATTTTAGAAGGCTGACGGAAGAGCAAACAAATGTAATTTTGGGTCCCATCATGTTTGACATGTACCTTTAAAATAATTGTTGTCAAATCATCATTAAGCTGGAACATAAATGCTGATAAGATATACCTCCATGTGCCTTTCAAGTTCTTTGAGTAACGTGGGGTATTTATCCAGACGCATAAAAGGTTTGCTGAGGCCCGTGGTCAGTACAAGGATCCCAGGGCTGTTGGCACCTTTCGTCTCCATGAATTCTCCTAGATCCTCACTGTGTACACAAGATATTTAAGCAAATTAAGATCAAATTACCAAGACAATTAAAATGACATTGGATTCTTCGCTTCAGTCTTTCATCCACAATGAATTCTGCCAATAAAACAAGAGGCCAAATAAATCAAAAAGTAATTAAAGTACAACTGAAGTGCTGGGATAAGTTTCTGCATTAAATAAAATACAGGAACAAAAAGACATTTGCAGATTTGGGGTCCTTCCATGGAACAACAGACATAGGATCAAATCCACCGTTCTAGGCAACTGATGCTCAAAGACAGCTCCTAAATGCTACCCCATCCAAGCAACGATTACAGAAGAAAGCCATTTGCGCTATATTTTATTACTCAGATCTTTATTCTAGTAAAATGACATCTGACCTTAGAGGTGGTTTACACAGATAATACACAAGCATAAATGAGTCAATGGCTTCATATTTAATCAAGCATCAATATTTTTAAGGTGTCTGGCACTAATGGGAAGACACAGAGCATTTCAGAACCTTTTTTCCTCCCACACTTACATGTTTAATGACCTCATCTCACACATCCAAGGTGTTATTGCAAAATGACCAACTAACCAACAGCCATACAAATGGTAGACCACAGTAGAAATAATTACTGCGCAATCTATTCTCAAACAAGTTCGGGTTTCACTGAGGGTGTACTTACACAACACACTTGTTTTGACAGCAAAGCTGCTGTAAGAAATCCATGCTCTCCAAATATCATGAACTGCTACTTCCCCTATCCAGATGGTTTTTCATGTTTGAATCATTTCCAAGAACTGGCCCAGCCCCTCAACTTTTTACATTAACTCACTTAAAAAAAGCAGTGCATCCTGGAAATTTCAGCTCACTTTGCTATCAAGGAAACTTAAAATAGCTAAATCTTCTGCTTCCTTATAAAGCAGAGGTTTCAGAGGACTATGGTGGAGGACAAGCTTTTCTAGAGTTTAAATGACCAGGAACAAAATGAGCCCTCACTGTGGGGAAAGGAAGGTACAGCAGCACCTGGGCTGATTTCCAGGCTTCAGAAAATATGAGTTACAGAAGAACGTGGGATTCTAAAGACAAAATCTGAATAAAGGAAATTCAGAAAGCCGTTTATTAAAGAGATAACATCTTCTTGCATTCACGCTGTGTCATTCTAGACATCTGCAGATGGGGTTGCTCATGTTTTGAGCCCTTGTTATAGTAAATTAACTAGTTCTGCAAAAAACCCACAACAAATAACACTATTCTCATGTGACAGTCATGTAAATTCTACCCTACGATATCCTGAAAGTCCTTACTTTCTACTGATTAATAGCATTACACTCCCATAAAAAATTTTTATCCCCTTCTTGGTTATTGACATAGTCTCATTTTTCAAAGGAAGCCTTAGCCAGCTACCAGGTTCAGTACTTTTAGAAAGTGTAAGAAGTGTCAAACATCAAACAGCAATAAAGGAGGAACACTTGTGCATTATGGCCACATTAACAAAAAGGGAAGGGCAAGGTTCTCCAAACCTAGGGCATAATTTTTCCATGCAGAAGTGAAAGCAAATCTTGACCTGCTCAATTTCCCTAGGAAAAAGATACTGATAGGACACTTCCATAACACACATGCTCAATTATCAGTGAGTCATGCTATATAAAAGCATTACATAGATTATGACAAAACAGACCTCCCTACCTCCCTCAAGACACACGAACACCCCCCTTCCCATTTCAGAACAAGTGACACTTTGCTTATTAACGTCATTTGTCCAAACAGATTAAGAGAGCAGAACAAGAACATGAACAGCAACCTTCCATCCCCAACGTAAGTGCTTCGTCCACCACCCCACCTGGATCTCTCTCCTGCCAGCTGCTAAAGCTCCCCCAAGTTCACAGAAGAGAAGGTACTTTTCCATACAGTATACTCCAATGTTCACTTGTCTTCAGATTAGTTAATTGTTACTTACTTACAGTACCTTGCTTAAATACATCCAGCACTGTTTCTGAAGTGTCAGGTCCGACATAACCTTACACAACCTCTTTTAGAGCACTTCACCCCCATTCTAACCAGACTCAGGCACTCCTCAGTGCATGTATTTGCGCAATTTCTGCTGTACTCAACTGCAGAGTCCAGAAATCGGGTGAGGGGATTTCCCAGCACCTGCTTTGCGTTTTAAAGATGCAAAGAGAAGGGCTGGGCACCCTTGAGAACACCCACGGCTCCACCAGGCAGACCTTGCTACATCCCTCTCAAGCGATGTGTATCAGCAACTCTAGGCCTCCTAAAATCAGCTTGGGACATGATCAGGTTTTAGCCAAAATTAAAACCCAATGAAAAACCTTTGTATGGAAAAATTATAATAGTGCAGCACAGATAAACCTGAGTACTTTTCTAGCTTGAATTTAGATTTAAGAAGTAAAGCTGGCCAACTCTGAATACCTAGAGCCTGAAGACCTACTTTGCCTTGTGTTTTTAGTCACAGCCCTTACTCAGCACAAAAATCACACCAACTACAGAACTTGACAACTGATTCTGGTGGCACCCTAAACAAGACTAAGGATTTTGACTCATACTTATATCTGGTTTTACAGTGTTACCAGCTACTTGTTCACAAAGGATTCAGGCTAATTTGCTGGAACGCAGAGCTGAATGGCTACGGCATGGTGGCACATCCTCTTCTCCCGACTCAGCTAAAGGGTAGCAGCTGTTTCCAGCATGGTGATGGGGTGGACAAACGAGGGTAGGCCACCCAGTTGCCACAGAAAGCTTTACCAAAGCTCACCTGTGAAAGCCCATCTGTCTCAAGGCACTCAGTGGTTTTAAATTTAAATTCACTGTGTATATGACACTGATCTTATGCACGCTAGTGCCTTTTTTTTTGTTCCCTCCATCAATTCTCCCTGTACGCACCCCCACCCATGTCAGTGTCAAAGTTAGAGTACCTAAGGTACTTGATATGTATCTTCAAGTAAACATTTAAACTCATTCTTTGCATTTTGTTTGCTTCAGCCAGACACACAGCCCCTGCTGCCTAACTTCATCAACTATTCCTTTCACACATTACCTGCCGCTCTTCTCCATTTCAGGCAGCACAATCCACACGCATGTCTACGCAGCTTCTCTTTTCTCCCCAACATACCAGTACCCTCTATGAGACGTGCCCATTGCAAATACCACAGGCCATTCGACTTAACATTGTTCTGAACAGCACTGATTTTTGCCTTTAGATTGCAAAGACACAAAAATCGTCATTCCTAATTACTTTGGCCATCTCCACGCTACTGGGTGCAGACAAATGCATTATATAAATGCTATTTGCTGAGCTATCCGTTTACACAATGCTTTTTTTTTTTTTCTTTTTCTTTTTTTATTTCATGCCTCTACAGTAGGAGGAACATTGGTTACCATTTCACCCACATTCACATTTCTAATTTTCATTATCACTGTTCCATTCCTTCCCGACTTCAGCATTATGAAACGTGCCAGAAAATGGGAAAAAAAAACCCTCACTGTAGCCTGAATTAAGATCAACTACTTGGAAACCTGAAATAAAAACCTGATACTATCTTGTTTTCCCTGTCGACTCTGCAATTCCTTTAACTAAACACACTCTGTGGTTACGCAATGTTGCAGCAGTTTCCAAGCCATTCACTGCTCTTCGCCATGAGATACTTGGTTGTTTATCACCTCCTTTTTAGTTAATCACAGTATAGGAACCTACAGAGCAAGTTTAAACCTCAGCTCACTTGAAATGTACACAAAGTCCTGAAAAACACGCTTAGCGATGGCATCATCAGGAAGCCTTTTGCACCGAGCAGTGTTAATAGGTGTAATTAAAATGGAATGACGTAGTTTTCTTCCCAACATTCCCAAGAGGACAATGTTTTCTTTCATACACTTCTGTGCTTCCCTCTGACAAGTTTTGACACGCCAGCTTGTTAAAACTCTAGTGTGAACACACACACACACACACACTCTTTTAATAGTACCCAAAATTTTGTCTGAGCAGTTCCATCACGCAGACCCCGTTAGCAGTCTGCTCGTGCTAAACCAACCTGCTACCTCTGCAGCTTCGTGGACGTAAAATATCTGGCAAAATGGACAGCTCAAAGCTTAAAGTGAGCATCCCTCATTTATCCGCAAACGATAAATACAATACGTAACATAATGCAAAGGTTTACTTTCAATAAAATATGGGTGGGTTAAAATACTGTTTGAATATGACAGCAGTTCACAACTGTTTTTTAATTAATAGCCGCTTAAAAGTCAGTGTTGTTAGCTCAAGAGCACAGCTGCTTTGCCGAAGACAATGGCTCTTTCATGTCACAATTTCAATTGATGCCTGCAAGTACCACACTCTCCTAGGCAGTATATGCTCAATAAAACTCTGGCCCACAGCTAAGTAGTATGTTTTAAAAAGAGGTATCATTTAACTGAAGGGGAAAAACTTTTGAACAGTGAAATCATCAACTTAGTCACAACTGCCTAAATAAGTAGCTTTTCAGAAAGAGGCAGCTGAGATTTGAATTCATCACTTGAGTAATTCTACAGAATAAAATGCAGAGAAGCATACAAAAGTGCTGTGCTTCATTTATCCTGAAATCCCACGCTGAAGAGTTCTCCTCACTCCAAACTAGAGTTAGCTCACAGCTTGAGATATTTTAAAGATCACCATGAAAAGTGCCTTTAAGCCCTATTAATATATTCAAATCTTCCTTAGTACAGCTGCCTCGAATCTCCAAATCAGACCGGGCAAGGGGAAGGAAACAAGTTCAGATGTGCCTACAGTAGCAGAAGGAAAAAAAAAACAAAAACAGCAAAACACAAACCACTTAAACTGGAGAGCACATCCAGGAACTAAAACGTATACATTTAAAATTACAACTTACACTTCTGAAGCAGGTCTCTGTTTGTAATAGAAGGAGCAGGAGCTATCACTGCTGAGGGGTCTGAGGACTGCACACAGGCACCGCATTTTGAGAGCGTTGTGGCACAGCCTGGCTCAGCAACCCCTCAAC